TTAAATACAGTTTACAATAGATCGCAGTCCCTGAATGCAGGATACGTACGTCCACAGACAGTGATCTATTCAAAACTGCATTTAATCATATCACGTACATTTTGCACAGAGTGGGTGGGTGCACAGAGTGGGTGGGTGCACAGAGAGGGTGACAGTGGGAGGGTGCAGAGTGGTTGGGCAATGTGGGTGGGTGCACAGAGTGGGTGGCAGTGTGGGTGCATAGAGAGGGTGACAGTGGACAGGTACACAGAGTTGGCAGTGTGGATGCACAGCATCTCAACTCTCTTCCTCTGGCCAATTCTAAGGGCTTGTTCACAGTGTGCTAAGTGTGCTAAGCTGCTGGAACGCACTGTATGGCATAGTAAACTACCCCCTGTGTTTTGGTGCTCTGTGCACCCGCCCACTGTTTGGTGACAGTGGGCGGGTGCACAGAGTGGGTGGGCAATGTGGGTGGGTGCACATAGTGGGTGGGTGCACAGAGAGGGTGACAGTGGGAGGGTGCAGAGTGGTCGGGCAATGTGGGTGGGTGCACAGAGTGGGTGGCAGTGTGGGTGCATAGAGAGGGTGACAGTGGGCGGGTACACAGAGTGGGCAGTGTGGATGCACAGCATCTCACCTCTCTTCCTCTGGCCAATTCTAAGGGCTTGTTCACACCATATACAATGCGTTTCAGTGTGGTTAGCTACTGGAACGCACTGTATGGCATAGTAAACTACCCCCTGTGTTTTGGTGCATGCACCATTTTTCCAATCGCACTGGACCGCAACAATGCACTAATGTGCCACTGCGGGCAGGGGGGCATGGCGGGGGTGCCATTGACTTCAATGCACTACCACACCCCTTCCTGCCCCAGCACGCACAGGGGAGTTTTTTATGCGATACAGTGCGTTCCAGCAGCTAACCGCATAATATATGGTGTGAACAAGCCGTAACCCTTTTTTCTCTACTCTGCAACTCTAGGCCTGACTCCCCCCTGTCCCACCCCCCTCATTCAGGGGAGTGGGAAGGGCAATTTTCATATTAATGAGGCATGGCGGGATTTGCATATGAATACCACGGCTCATTAATATGCAAATACCCGTAAATAGCATATGAATGAGCCACGGCCGGCCAGTGTTAATGGCTCCTGCAGCTCATGTAAGGAGAACAAAGTCTTCAGTTCCTGTCCCCCGAAGGCTTCAGTCCCTGTCCCCCTTGACGCTTCAGTCCCTGTCCCCCCTGACGCTTCAGTCCCTGTCCCTCCTTACCTGTCAGCAGTCCTAGCAGCAGTGAAGATCACACACACTTCCACTCAGCGGCCTCGCCATCTCCTTCAGCCGGACACAGGCAGGAGATAACTCTGCCCACCCCCACTCTGCACTGTGACTGGCAGGGGAGAGGATTGCAGATTTAGTGTCCTTAGGTTCCGTGCGACGGTGAAGTTTTTGACCTGCGGCCGCACGGAAATTAAGAACCCCTAATTAACCTCCCTCCTGCTCCTGACAGGCCCCCTTGTGGCGCGGGCCCCATAGCGCCCGCATGGGCCGCTATGGCAGTAGTTCCGCCCCTGCATTAGGGCAAGAAGCAGGAAAATAGGGCAAATAGCATTTTCAGAAGGTCAGCAATTGTAGCCTCCATATTTCTCTCATTACAGGTCTGCTTTAAAAATGCTGAGATTATTATTAATAAATAAAACTGTAATATTGTTTTATAAACAGAATTTAAAATTAATTTTAGGTTTAATTATGAAAATGTTAAAAAGGTTTTTTTTTCTGAAGGCTAAGCTGCCTGTTGATTTGGGACTAGTTTGTGTAACCTTTACAACATTTTTAGACTTTACACTTTTTTTTTGCAATGAGCAATGTCATTTTCCAGTTTTATTCTAAGATTTCCCAATTTTAGACACATACCTGTTCCAATTTATTCAATGGTTGTTCACACTCTTTACAGAATTGATAATGATTGTTAATGATTGCTTTAATTTACATTTATTTCACAGACAGGGACTTTCTTAGGGCTTGCTACAATTATTAGGCACAACATTTTTTATCTTTTTACTTTTTAGGTGGATGGAAAATGAAAATGTTGACAGAGGAAATGTGTTACTATGCATCTTCATATAATTGATCCAATTTCCTTATCACCAAAGGAGTTTCCTTAACTAGTTTCTGATTAAGCAAATGTTCCAGGAAGCATGCGTTATTAGAAGACCCATTATTAATGCTACAAATTGAATAAAATTTGAAATGCACAGAGCATGGAATTTCTTAGACACAGTTGTACTTTGACTTTACCCAAGCAAAATTGTAAAATGTTTTATTCAAATTGAAACACAAGAAGCCAAGTATATTATAGCTATTACTATGTGACTGCTATGAAGCCCAGCAGCATAGGTGACACCAGTACCATCTTGACAAGTACCATCTTGCCTCACTATGCAGTAGTTTTTGCATATTACTCTGGATAAAGTTAGCATACTCTATATGCAGTGCTGACACAGCTTTCAAAATCTTACAAAAATATGTAGTACCCTACAGTGTGAAATATGGCTTTAGACAGCCCATCTCCCAGTTTCTTACTCTAAGATGGAGATTGGAGAAACAGCAGATCCCATAATAACTGAAGGACTTCACTCAGATGGAGGGGCCCCTAAAATGACTTTCAATGGGATTCCATCAATAGTCATGGCAGTTGTTAGAAAGGCTTGCGCTTTAAACAGTGACTTTGGACCCCTCTTTGCAATCTAGTTTGGTCTGCATATCCGAAAACAGTCAGGAGAGTCAAATAACATTATGTAACATGTATAAAGACATAAAAGTGGCAACCTTTTTTAATGCTGCAGTAATGTACAGCCAAAATACTAAAACAAATATTCAAAATATGTAAAAAATAAAGAATAAGTTTGTATAAGTAGACTAAAACAGTCAGACGGAGTCCAATTGATCAAGTTACCCTCTAGCTTCTTAAACCTCTAGCTTCTTTAAGCTCTTAAAAGGCTGCAGCCAATCTGATCTCCTCCTCCCCTATTCAGGACTTCCTCACTTGTTGCTCTTGGTGCGAGCAACAAGTCTTATGCCTTGTTCTGTACCTCTTGTGGCTCTAACTATGCCTGGGATCTTATTCCCTGCCCTTACTATTGAATCCTTGTGCCTTTTGGCTTCCCTGTACCAGCTGGTATCCCTGTTTGGCGTTATCCCCTGCTTTGCTCCTTGCGTCCCTACTATAGTATTTCAGTAGTTACCTTTAGTATATTGCTGCAGACCTTAATTGCTTTCGTCTGTGTGCTGTGAGTCTCTCTATACTGCCTTCATTGACTCACTTCTTCTGTGTTTTTCCTCTCCAGCCTTTGTCTGTTTGCTGTTTGCTTCCTCCTATTTACTTGCTTTGTTGTACTTCAACTCCGTCACTTACCTTCCAGTGTATCTTCCTATGCTTCGCTGTCACCCCTTTACTTCTGTGCTCCTCTCTTACCTTCTGGCTATGTTGGATTCGTCCTTGTCTGCACACCCCCTGTGTGCATACATCCCTTTTGTGCTTCTTTATGTACTTTTCCCTCTGTTATCCTGCTTCTTTGTATGCATGTGCAACGCACATCTCTTGCTTACTTTTGTACGTTACACTTTCCTGCTCCTAGGTGTGCCTCTAAGCCACTTAGCCTTCCCGGGTGTCCTTGCTTAGCTACCCTCTTCAGTATACTCTGCTGTTCTGCTTTGCGTTTTGCACCTTTGCTTGGGACTTTCTCTCTCTCTCTCTCTCTCTCTCTCT